AAAATTAAATAAGCTAAAGTGTGAAGGCCCCAAATTTTGATGAGAAATTTAGTGAGAAGACTGATTTATTTTTCTACCAAATGGGAAATATTTTAAAATTGACTGTGACTTTTGAGGGTGAAAATATTTGAAGTTAGTTATTTAAAGTTTTATAGGAATTACATCCTCAGTATTAGTACTTTTAGTTAGTCGGGGCTTTGTTTTCTCAGATTTCCAGTGATAACTAGATTATTTCTAAATACTGACCATGATTCCCTGGAGCCAAGTGAGATACATTACCTCTCTTCAGGCTCCAAGGAACCATTTCTTAGGTTACATTTCATGGGCAGTAAATAATACCTTCAAAAGTGTAAGAATTAATTCATTTCAGATGAGCACCACTAGTATCTCAGGGGTTACTGTTACCAAATAGTTCAACATAGGAGCAAGACTTTGTGAAATGGGTTTTGAAGCAATATCCCATTAACTTATAAAATGTGTTACTCTACAAATAGACTGTTCTAAGTTGTGCCAGTTATCAGAAGCTTTTTCTGTTTAAGACAAGCTTGCCCATCAAGTTTTAGACAATAATGAAAAAAAGAGAGCATGAGAAGAATGAAAGCATTGATAAAACCTCAACACTATAAGCAAGAGACTGTGTAACCAACAACACTACCTATACCTGTCAGTCTGTGTAACTAATCAGTTCTCAATTATTTCTTCATAGGATGGGACTTAATAAAAATGGCTTATTCTCTAATCACTTACTTTTCTTGTCAAATACTGACAGGAAAATTGGAAAGCAAACAAATGGAGGGATACAGATCCCAGATAATGAATGCATTAATTCAACAACTAGTTGTAAAATGCCTACTATATTCCAGGTACTGTCATATGTGCTGGGAATACTTGCATCATCTATCTTCAGTCATTTATTCATACATTTCTAATTATTTCCTTAAATTAGGCCATTTTTTTTATAGAGAAGATAATATTCACTCTATTCCTAAGTCTCCCCTTAAATATTCTTTTTCCCACTGGGCTAAAAATATCACTTACACATAAAACATGTCATTTTTCTCCTTAACCATCATTATTACGAGATAGACAGCAGTATGTGTGAAACTTCCTGTACAGTGGAGCCTCTCCAGAATAACCTTGACTAAGATGGCTTGCAATCACAAAACAATATTCTTAATTTTCTTCTCCTTGGGCACATTTGAAATTTGTACAAGTGACTGTTTTGAAAAGTCAAACAAAACAAAACTTGTATTAAACTTTTCTTAATCTGTCCATTAATAGTATATTTTTACTAATTACCTTGTACTAGGAAATGATGAGCAATAAGCTTTTTAAAACTCTTTGTCACTGATTTAAGCTGTCTAATTGTGTTGCTCCTCCTTGGAAGGCTTAATTATTAGGAGTCTGTAAATATAGCTAAAAATGAAAAGTACAAGATTTAAAAACTATCATGGTGTTTATGTTCAAATAGATTATCTTTCCTTTCTACTTTGCCCCTGATTTTCACCAATTGAATTTACAGAGTATTTTCAAATGTTTAGCAGAATTCTAAACAGATTTCATCTGTACTTAAGCATTTTTAAATTTCTCCTTGTCTCTGTATTAGATGGCCTTTCAAAAATAGTAATAATTTAAAAACTTACACAGTTCAAAACATGTACTAAATGTTTATACTTGATGATTTTTACCTTCTAGAAATCTTTCTAGATTTATTTTGAATTCAAGCATTTTTAAAGTATTGCAGGCTAACACTGACACTTCAGGTTTATAAATTTAAATGAAAATTGGTAATGGGTAAGGAAAATGGAGAGTATATATGATAAATAATTACCCATATAACTATTTAAAATTTTATTTATAGTTTTCATATATTTTAATGATCACAATAATGTAAAAACAAGGAGGCTCATAAAATATGAAAAATTAACTCCATTTAGGTCTTTGTCAATTTAAATGCAGAATATATCTTGAAGGTGTTCCAAAATTTTGATACATATATCAATATGATGTGCATTTTTATTTTCCTAGAAGATTTAAGCTTTTACATGCTATAGATATTTTTTCTCAAACTTATATAATTAATAGTATTTTTAAGCAAGGCATGTTCATCTCAGCATTGTTTATACAGGTAAAAATATTGAAAGCATAGAAATTGAATTCAATAACAAACTGCTTAGATAAGTTACAGTACATCCACACGATGGAATACTATGCAGTCCACTAAAATGATGAAATAGATTGATATTTATTGGCATGAAAAGATGGTTATGGTTCATTCTAAAATTAAAAATTACAAAACAGTACATATAGCTTTTTTTTGTAAAAATGTTAATGTATACATAAGAAAAAAGGTATGGAAGGATATGCACTCACTGAATATATTAATAGTGGTTATCTCTGAACTGTGGAAATTTTACTTCCTCCTTTTGCATTGTGTACATTTTTTTTTACAATGAGCATGTATTATGTTTATAATCAATAAAAGCAAATGGAAATCATTTGAAACATCAATAAAGCAGGGGAAAAATGTATGTGATCCAATTACCCAATTATTTGGTTACGAACATACATGTAATTTGTAGATAAACAATTACATATAAACATCTTATTGTAATTATTTTATGGTCATACAGCTAACAAAAATGTTAACAAAATTATATATTTGTATTATATTATTTATTAAAATGAAGATTTGTATATAAGGTAATAAAAACCAATGGACAATAGAGACAAAAATTTTCTTATGGTTTAATCTGTGGTATGAGTGAATCATATTTTTAAAAAGTAATTATTTAAATTTTACATAAATTGGGTATTTCTCTACTTCCAAAATGGACTTGAACTGGTATATATAAAAAGAAAGGCAATACAAAAAGTTCAAAAATAAGTGTAATATGGGTGGAAGGCAAACAGTAAGAACAGGGAACTGCAGGTGAAATGTGGAGAATCTGCAATCTAGAGATTACATGCTAATTAATGTAACTCCAATATCAAACAGAACATTTTTTTCTGAATTTGCAAGCTGCCAAGACAGAAAGTGAATCATATTGGGTTAACAGTTCTCACATAATGGATGGAGGCAAATAATCAAGAGACTGCCTGTTCCTTAACTCTGAAAATTCTGTGAATGTTATCACATGGAGACTTCCAAGTATTTACTATAGATATAAACAAGTTTAATAGAAGATGTTCTTCAAAGTAGTTTTTCAACATCATTCTATGGACTATTTACCTTTTATATCGATAGTAGATAAAGACTGGAAGTAAAATATTAAATTATCCATAGGTAAAGGCAACTCATTTTTGTTTATTTAATGTGAGCCAAGTACAAGTACTAAAGAATTTAGGAAAATGAGTGGTAGCAGTGGTACCTAAAGTGTTCCCCAATATCAAATCTTTCAGGAAAGGTTTTAAAGACGTAACTCATAATTTAAATAGCCACTGACTAAAGTATTAATTTTCTAATGCACTGATTGAGAAAACACCAGTATGCTTACTTCTCTGGGCCTGAAGTTAATAAAGACAACTCCCAACGTTTAGTCAAAGCCACAGTCAAGTCTGTGGTGTGCTCACAATATATTTAAAAAAGAAACAAAAATATAAATAAATAAAAGGGAAGAAAAGAAATCTCACATCTTTTTTAAATGAACATTCATTTAGAATGATTTAAAGTGAAATTATGCAGCAATGTTAACTGGATCACATACATTTTCCCCTGCTTTATTCATGTCTCAAAAAGCAAGTTAGAAGTTTTCACTGTGATAGATTCAGAAGAACCATGTTAAGAATATTTTCACGAAAGACATTAAATTTGGTATTAGTGATATAAAGAGGGAGATATACTTAATCGGTTGCCTCATCTTGACTGTTCAGGAAAAAAAATGTGAAGGAATAAACTTTATTCTACATATTCCTAAAGATATTATATCAAAAAATAGTACAAAATGACAATTTTACAATTAGAAATTATGTTCTTTACTAAAATGAACAAGGTTTTCTAGTTTTTTTTCCAAAAGAACGTATTCACTTAAAAAAACTTGTGAATTGGCATAAAATAACCCCTTATTACAAAGGAGCCCAAACTAAGTAGGCACCAGCTAAGGCTGAAACAAATTGAGTATTCTTATTCTCACCACCTGCGCCTGGCCTGGCCCAGGGTGACATGCAGGGGCTTGGAGCCTACAATGCGACCATTCATCCCATCCACTGCTTTGGCAGCCTCTTCAAAAGAGGAGAAGCAGACAACACCGAACCCTTTGCCCTGCCCCACTTCCATCATCACTTTGGCCCTGCTAATTGATCCAAAGGAAGCAAATTCCTCCTTTAGTTTTTCGTCATCGATGGTCTCATCCAGGTTCTTAATATAGATAGGCACCCCTGGAGGCCGACTTTTTTCTTTTAATCTCAGCCGTTCAAATCTCCGCCTCAACTCAGCCAGGCGTTCAATTTTCTTCTGTGCTCGCCCTACGTATAGGACCTTGCCACCGATAGACTTTCCATGCAGGTCTAGCACAGCCTTTTGGGCAGCCTCGTGTGTCTCATACCTCACAAATCCAAATCCCTTAGATTTCCCACTGGCATCTTTAATTACCTTAACACTCTCAGTTGGCCCATATTCGCTGAAAAGTTCCTTCAGTTTTTCGTCATCCATGTCATCTCCAAAGTTTTTAACAAACACATTGGTGAAAGTTGCTCTATCCCTTGTTCTAACCTCAGCTGCCCGCTCTTCCGGGAATTTGAATCTGCCAACATACACCTGGCGGTTGTTGAGCCGCACTCCATTCATGTGCCATATGGCCCTATTGGCAGCGGCCAGGCTGTCGAAGTGCACATAGGCATAACCCTTCGAGCCATTGTCATCGCATACGACTTTGCAGGAGAGAATGTTCCCAAAAGCAGAAAATAAGTAAAACAAGGCCCTATTGTCTATGGATTTGTCCAGGTTTTTGATGAATATATTTCCAACTCCAGACTTTCTTAAGCGATCATCTGGCTGAGACCACATGAGGCGGAATGGTTTGCCATTAATCAAATCAAAATTCATGGTGTTCAAGGCCCATTCAGCATCTGCGGGAAACCGGAAGTTAACATAGCCATAGCCCAGGTGGCTGCGGGTCACCGGGTCACGGCAGATTCGGGTGAAGCGCAGAGGGCCAGCAGGCCTGAACTTCTTATAGAGCATGTCCTCGGTGACATCTGGGTCCAAGTCACCCACATACAGGGCAGCCTTGAGATATTTCTTTTTCTTGCCGGCAGGGTTAGGCTCCCCGCTCCCCATTTCTCTGAGCACAGGGAGGAGGTTCTCTTGGGAGAGAAAAAAGGCTGCTTTCTCTAAGCTATGGGCCAAACAGCTGTTCAGGAACAGAAAAAAGCCAAGGCAGGCCAAGGGAAGCTAAAAGCAGACTCAGAATCACTGTCGAGGCTGAGAAAATGAAGTTCAGAAACAGCTGGTCAGCAGGCTCAGAACAAACGCATCAGAAAAAGGCACC